ACTCCTCGCGGTCCTCTTACAGCACCAGGTCTACCTGGCGGCTCCTCCATCTCCACAGCCGTCCCATGGTTGGTGGGAGGACTCGGCAGGGAAGGCACACACAGCACCACCGGGTAGGAACCAGGGGAGGTTAGCTACCCTTCCTCAAAGGTCATCTGCAGTCACCTTCAGTCTCTACTCACACATCCAGGGCCGGGAGCTCACTACCTCTCAAGCCTAGGCTCGCTCTGAGAGTGAGGAGTCGTTCATAACCAAACCCCGTGACCTGCACCATCTGCGTGATCTCCCCCACCCCAGAGAAACCCTCCCCCGCACCTTAGGTCTGTTCTCTACCCACGTTAGCATCTCCCACCTGCAGACTCGGAAGGGACAGAGGGCTCTCACCAGGGATGAGCCGTGCCACCAGGACACCGACTCCCACGGCTGCCCTCACCTCTACTTTCAGTTCAAGGACCCAGAGAGGGTGAGCTGCTTGCCCGAGGTCACACAGCGAGCGGGGGTGGAACCAGGACGAGCATCTGGGTCTCCTACCTCGAAACCAAGGCCCCTCCCGCACTGGGGGCTCTGCGGGGGCGGGGCTCGGGCTCGAGGCACCTGCCGTCCCCACGCCTGCACGGCTGGGCACGGGCGGCTGCGGACAAACGCGCCAGGCCCACCGGCCCGATCACGGCAGTGCAGGCTCATTGTGGCCAATGGCACAGCGTGAGCGGAGTTCACACCGTCACCTATTGTTTCTCGGCGGCTTGATCGTTACAGGCACGTAGGGACTGGAGGCCTCTTAGAATTAGATCGGAAACATACAAACACCGGATAAATTCTGAGCCAGGCCTTTGGATGAGGTCCCAGCCAGCCAATGCTCTGGGAGGCAGGGACGTGCGTAAGCACGGGGGGCTGGGGACTCACAGGACCACAGAAAGGTGGGTGTCTGGGCAAGGCCCTGCGGTGTAACCCCTCAGGGTGGGCGGTGAGCACACAGTGAGGCCAGGCAGAGGCAGGAAGAGCCCAATGGCACCCAGGCCTCCATGGCTCCCGGGTCCCCACGTCCTCAGCACCGGGCAGAGAGGGCTCCAGCCTGAACCAGCGGGCTGCCCCCTGCAGTGCTGCCCCCTGCCGGGCAGGCTGGGAAGCGGACGGGGCAAAGCTCTGGGCACCAAGGGCAGAGCCCAAAGGCCCTCTGCTCCGCCCCAGGGCAGCAGGACACTGGGCCCTCACCTTTGCCAGGAGAGATCCTACCTGGACGGGAAAGCATGCCCCACCCCCTGGGTATGAAGAAAGGGGACACATACCTTCCAGCAGGGCTCCTCATTGGCTGGCACAGGGAGGAAGGGCGAGAACATGTTAGTGGGCATCTGGGGAGCACCAATCAGGACTGGAGTCCATGAGGCCCGGAGTGGCCAGGTTCTCACCCAGGGCATGATGGGAGTGTTACAGGCCCCAGTGACAGGTGGTTCTCACCCAGGGCATGATGGGAGCATTACAGGCCCCAGTGACAGCTGGTTCTCACCCAGGGCATGATGGGAGAATCACAGAATCACAGGCCCCAGTGTGGCCAGGTTCTCACCCAGGGCATGATGGGAGTAAGGGTTTCTGCCTGGTCACGGCAAGGACCCGCCACGGACCAGGCTCGTCGTGGGCCGAGTTCTGGAGGAGCAGGGCAGCCGGGAGCGCAGGGGGAGGGAAGCATCGCTCCGGTGGGAATACGGGACTCGCTCTGAACTCCTCTGTTGCCCGTAACCCACTCATTGCAGTGAGTGATGCCAAGCACACGTCTTAATGACCAAGCCGGGCGGCAGACGCCACCAGCAGGGGAGGCCCTGCTTCATGTGCACACTCCACAGCGAACAAAGCGCTGCCATGCTCACCCCTGTGCCACTGTCCCCGCAGCCCATTTGACACACCAGTAAACCAAGGCCCAGGAGGTGGCGATGTGTCAAAGGTCAGAGTCCCAAGAGGAGCAGGTCGCTTCCTGCCCGAGGACCTGTTCTCTAACTGGGACTGAAGGGCACCCTCCCGGTGGGTGTTGTGACCATGGATGTGTTCGTGGAGGCTGGCTCCTTGGCCCCGAGGTCCTGCAGTGGGCAGGGCTGGCAGAGGGGGGCGGGGCCCATGCATCCTGGGGTGAAGGCCCGGGCCAGGTCCCAGCCTGCCAGTGCCCTGAGGTGCGGAAGGATCCCGAGGCCCAGGGGGAGGTCTGGTCCAGGCCACAGCGAGTCATCGAGGCAGGGCCGGGCCGAGGACTCCAGGTTCCCACGTGCTGCCCAGGCAGCTCATGAGGGTGTGTGAGGCACCCGGCCAGCTGCCTGGTGGGGAGGGGAGGCTCTCTCCAGGGCTGTGTGGTGGCAGGTGGCACCTGGGCAGGGCCACAGGGCAGAGGCCAGATGCAGGTGCTGGGGGGGGGGGAGTGAGGGCCCCTCCTGGCACTGGGTCCTCACCCCGACCCAGGTCAGCTCTGTGGTGGGCGGGTCCTGCCGCAGTGGCCGTGGGCACCACGGGGCCTGGCCCTGCTCACCTCGTGCCGTGAGGAACAGGGGGCTGTTCAGGTAGCTGGACGCCAGCCGCTTCCTCTGCAGGGACAGAAAACAAGACAAAACCACCGTCGGGGAGCCCTCCTCAGGCTGCAACCCCTGCCCGGGCTCACCAACAGCCCCACCCAGGCTCTGGGCCCCGCTGGACACCCGGGAGGCAGACACGGGGACAGGCCCGGGGACGCAGGACCGGGCAGAGGGGGTGGGCGGGGGCCTGTCCCTCACCAGGGCGGAGTGGTCCCCGCTCCCTGTGGGGACGTCCGTCACACTAGGAAGGACATGTGAGGACCCACACAGGGCAAATCAGTAACAGAGCGGATTGTGGTGCCCCATCTGCCTGTCTGTGTCTTCTCTCTTGGCTGCTCTGGGGTCCGGGGGGAAACAAGGGGTGCTACGAGTTAGCTCCCAACCCCCCAACCCCCACTTCCGCCTGTGGCCCAGGAGCCCTGGCGCCAGACAAGGGCCTCTGCATCCTGGTGGCCTCTGACGCCGCCGCCTCAGACGGAAGCTCCCAGAGGGGCTCTCCCACCCCAGGCCACGGCGTCTCAGCCTTGGTGGTTGGAGGGGCTCTGGCTGTGATTGCACAGAAGGATTGTTCTAGAGTCTTGTTTGGCTTAAACCCGTCTCTCGGGCTGAGGTCCGGCCTTGGGAGGAGCCCATGGAGGGGCTGCCCTTGACCCTACATATGAGTCCTGGGCTCAAGGGCACCGGCTTCACATTGGTCCCTGACGTGCTCACAGGTCGCCTCTGGCCCGGCCACAGGCTTTGGAGACCAGGGTCTGGCTTTGCAGGTCAGAGAGAGAGGGTTTCATCCACGAACAGCAAGAGACGGGCCTCATCAAACAGAGAACCCGCCACCCTGGTGACACACCTACAAACGGGCCACGGCGCTCGGGGACCCCGCCTCAGGGACAGGGCTGCCTCCCTCCCCGCCGAGCTCCATGCACGGGACGTGCACCTGGGACAACTGACCCGGCCTGCCCGCCCCCCGGGGAGGCGCAGGGCACTTTCCCGACCCCTCCAGGCCCCCGGAGCCCTGCCGGCCTCGGGACACGCCTCTGCCTCAGCTTTGGACTCTGCGGCCTTAGAAACACTGCTTCCAGCGAAGGGGTCACTCCCAGGTGCCCCGCTGCCTGTGCCCTGCGACCTGCACCCAGGGAGCGTGTGTGACAGCTCAGCCGACACCTCTGTCTCCTGCCTCCGTCTCTCAATGGACCCTGGGCTGCGGGGTGAAGCAGGATGATTGACCGGGAGGGCGGGTGAGGGGGGCCAGCCGGAGCCTCCCTCCCTGCGGAAGGCGGTCTCACCTCGGTCTCCAGGAGGCCGCTGTAGGTGGGGTTGGCGGTGCTTCTCCGCTTCCGCTCCTGGCGTTTGCTCTGGATTTCTGCAAGGCAGACGCCGCGTTACCATCCTTCCCGCCCAGGAGCCATCACGGCCCCGCCCGTCACACAGCCTGTCTGCACAGCACCGATGCCCGTGCCGGGAGCAGGCCAGGGTCTCCAGGCATTGCTCCCCACCCCAGGCAGGACACGCCCACTGGGCTCAGGCTGGGGGCGATGGTTGGCAGGGAGGTGGTAGGCATCCGGGATCCAGGCACCCACTGGGCTCAGGGCCCCGGTGGGCCATCACCCAGCCTGGGGCTGTCTCTCTTAGGACCCTGCACACCGGGTGCCTCTGGGCAGATGCTGGCCTGGCTGAGGCAAAGGGCTCCCGGGGCCAGTCCTATAGCTTAGGTGGCCTCGCCCCCCGAAGCCCCAGGCACAGAGCCTTCCAAGAGGCCTGGGCTGGCCGCCGTGGCTGGCACTGGGGCGGGCCTCCCAGAAGCTGGTTCACCCTCGGGTGCTGCCCTCTGACCAGGGGGACTGAGACCCACTGCTCCGGGCTGATTCCAGCAGACCACCCGCCCCCCCTGTCATGAGGGCCAGTCCCAGCCGTCCTGCTGCGGACCTTACCTTCCAGGTGCTCCGTGGTAACCAGGCCCAGCGCCACCATGAAGGCGATTTTCTGAGGGGAGGAAACAGAAGTGTTACCTTGCTTCATCATTCGTGCATTCATTCATTCATCCAATCATTCATTCATTCATCCATTCATCCATTCATTCATTCATTCACTCATCCATCCATTCATTCATCATTCACTCATTCTACAGGCATTGCTCAGGGCCGTATGCGCTGGCTCCTCACTGTGTCTCCTTAGCTTTAACCTAACGGACTTTCTCTGTCCCGGGACCCCACCCCAGACCCACGTGACATTTAGTCCTCACGCCTCCTCAGCTGCTCTGGGCTGTGAGCTTCTCAGCAGCCCTCGTTTCTATGGCCTTGATCAGGGTCCTCAAACTGCGGCCCGCGGGCCACATGCGGCCCGCCGAAAACATTTGTTTTTTTACTTCAAAATAAGATATGTGCAGTGTGCATAGGAATTTGTTCATAGTTTTTTTTTAAACTATAGTCCGGCCCTCCAACAGTCTGAGGGACAGTGAACTGGCCCCCTGTTTAAAAAGTTTGAGGACCCCTGGCCTTGATGGTTGTGAGGGCAGGGACTCTGCAGGCGGCCCCTCCACTGGGATTTGCCTGATGAGGTTCTCAGGGTTACAGCGGGGTCGTGGGTTGGGGAAGAAGACACAGAGGAAATGCCTTCTCATTACATCCTGTCGGGGACGTGCTGTCCACTGGGCAGTGATGCTGACTGGGCACCTGGCTGAAGTGCGCCTGCAGGGTTCCCACCGGGACCTTCCCTTCACCCCGTCCCCCCTCTTTTTTTTTTTTTTTTGGCTAACCCTCACGTGACTGAGGATATTTTTCCATTGATTTTTAGAGAGAGTGGAAAGGAGGAGGAAAGACACAGAGAGAGAAATATCGATGTGAGAGAGACACATCGATTGGTTGCCTCAGGCATGCACCCCGACCACCCCAACTAGGCCGGGATCGAGCCTGCAACCGAGGTATGTGCCCTTAACGGGAATGGAACCCTGAGACCCTTCAATCTGCGGTCTAACACTATCCACTGAGCCAACCTGCGAAGGCCGCCCCGGCCTCTGTGGGAGGCCACCGTGCACAGCCCACGCCCCCGGAGTTGGGCATTCCTGGGGCTTTGGGCGCCATGTAGACTTTTAAAAATTTATATGTGGTGGAATTTATGAATATTTTCCTTTGCGGTGTTTGGATTTTTGAATCTTGGCTAGAGATTGAGGTTATAGAGCAAGTCGACTGTGTTTTATTTCAGTACCTATAGTTCACATTTTACATTTAGGTTTCGGATCCACCTGGAACTTATCTGAAAATAAGGGAATCAATGGGCATATTTACTGGGATGATGTCAAAATTATAAATGAACTTAGGGCACAACGATAACTTTATATAATACTAACATTTCCTACCCAAACCACAGTGCGCCTCTATTCTTTTTGTCTTCGGGGGTTTTAAACTTTCAAGTGGGTGTTGGATATTTTATTATGATTATTCCTAGGCATTTAATCTTCTTGTTGCTATTGTAAAAGGGATTGTCCATAAAGTTTTGTACATTAATATTACACCCGCCGCCACGCCGAATTCTCTTAGTGCAGTGGTTCTCAATCTTCCTAATGCCGCGACCCTTTAATACAGTTCCTCATGTTGTGGTGACCCCCAACCATAAAATTATTTTCGTTGCTACTTCATAACTGTAATTTTGCTACTGTTATGAATCGTCATGTAAATATCTGATATGCAGGATGTGTTTTCATTGTTACAAATTGAACATAATTAAAGCATAGTGATTAATCACAGAAACAATACGTAATTATATATGTGTTTTCCGATGGTCTTAGGCGACCCCTGTGAAAGGGTCATTCGACCCCCAAAGGAGTCTCGACCCACAGGTTGAGAACCACTGTCTTAGTGTCTGTGGGAGTTTTTCATCCATTCTCTTGGGTTTTCTACATCATTTCAAACAGTGACTGTTCATCTCTCTAATTTTTACTTCTCTGCTGTTAAAAAGACTTCTCAACTTGCCAGCTGTCAATGATATTCTCTGATTCACTTTAAGTCCCAACTACGACAGACAAGACCATCTCACCGTTGATTCCACCTCCCACCTTCTCTCCCTCCTCCTCTCAACTGTACTCAGCTGAGCCTTGGCCCATCGCTGGAGCCGGCAGCATTTAAACCACCGACATCCTTATCCCGTTTCGGCTTTCCTCTGCAGTTAATTAAAGGTGCCGCCTCAGTGTTGGTGCCAAAGTGGCCCCAGCTGCTTGGGATCAACTGAGGTTGAGTCTGTAGTAGTTTCTCCTGAAGGGCTCATGGGAGCCCATCTCCCGAGTTCTTGGCAGATTTAAAACGTTTTTGCAGCCCTGGCAGGGTAGCTCAGCTGGTAAGAGCATCGTCCTATACACCAAGGTTGCAGGTTCAATTCCCGGTCAGAGCACACACAGGAATCAACTAATGAATGCATAAATAAGTGGAACGACAAAAATCAATGTTTCTCCCTCTCTCTCTCCCCCTTCCTCCCTTTCTAAAACCAATAAATAAAAATTTAAAAACCCACAAACATTTTTGTAGCCCGGCCTATGTGGCTCAGTGGTTGAACGTCGACCTATGAACCAGGAGGTCATGGTTCGATTCCTGGTCAGGGCATATGCCCAAGTTGTGGGCTCACTCCCTCTCTCATCATTGATGCTTCTACCTTTCTCTCCCTCCTCTCCCTTCCTCTCTGAAATCAATAAAAATATATATTTTTAAAAAGTTTTTGTAGCCTCTCGCTTGAAGGCCAGCCCGGCTGGGCGGACAGTCCTGGGCTCTGTCGCTCGGCTGTGCTGAAGTTCAGTGCTGCGTGGACAGGTCCGGAGCCAGCCTGGCCGTCTCCCTCTGAAGTCACTGGATCAGGACCCTTTCCCTTCCATTAAAGGCCAGTGCCTTTCCTGGGCCGTGTCTCCACACGGACTGACCATTTCCCCTTGTGCCCAGCGTGGTCATTCCATGGGCAAACCAAATGATTTCATAAACGTTTTTGGATTGTACTTCAAAATCACCGAAGCACCCCACACCAAGAACAGTGGGTCCCCACACCCCAATCCCGTAAGAGGTGCGCCCGGGTTAATGCAAGACTAATGACATGACGAAGGGGCCACAGAGCTGCTGCAGTGGGAACTGGGTCCAGGCTGCAGGGCAGTGCCCCCTGGTTTCCATATCACTTCTGAGCCCTGTGGCTGACTGGACAGTGGCAGGGCCTCTGGGAACCCCCAGGACCGGCACCGCTTCACTGGCCGGATCTGGGAAGTCTGGGCTGGGCGATACCAGGCCCTCGGGGCCCAGGCTCCTGCTTCCACACTCAGCCTCCCCTGCCTCCCACAGGAGATAACTTCCGTGCTCACCTGAGGACAGGTAACAGGCAGCTCGCAGGAGCCACCTGCCTACGTGTAATATTCTAATTCACATCACCGCGGGGGACTGTTGGGGTTTGACTGTATTTATCCCGCTCCACCGTCCTGGTGTCCTTCCCATTCTCCAATTATCTACCTGTTGTTGTACCTTCTTTGCTTGTCTTCTGTAGGTACCACTTTCTAATGTTCAAAAACTCATTCTTCCTGTTTCATTTGTATAATTTCCTCCCTTCTGCCCGCGTTGTCCCTCGCTGTGTCTCCTGCCACGTCTATGGTATCCTCTGCTCATCCAGTTATGCATTTATTTCTGTGATAGTTTTTATTATTTTTCCTAAATAATTCCAGCTCAGGTTTCATTGTCTCCAGTCCTTTGGCCATTTAGCCTCCTTTCCCCTCAGTCCTCGGGTTGCAGCTTTGCAGTTTCCTTCTTGGCGGTGATGAGTTTGTCTTTTCAGTTTGTCATCCTTTCTTTTCACTTCCTTTCCTGTCTTCTTGGGGGAAAAGGTCCCACATTCACCTCCTTTTCCTCTGCTGACTTAGAAGTGATAGGTGGCATTTTATTCCTTTTAGCAGTTAGTGTAGATGTTTGAAGTATATGTTCTTAGCTATACATTTCCCTAATGAAGTCTAAAGTTAATATTTCTCCTTTTTTTGGAAGGTTAATATTTCTATCTTTCTCAACACGCTAACCTTAGCATGTTCTAACTTCCTCTAAAACATCACTGACCAACTTCTTATTGCCGCCTAGAATTTTCCTTTTACCTGTTTTGAAAAACAAAACTGGGGCCCTGGCCAGTTTGACTCCGTGAATAGAGAATCAACCTGTGGACTGAAGGGTCCTGGGTTCGATTCCAGTCAAAGGCATATGCCCAGGTTGCGGGCTTGATTCCCAATGGGGGCGTGCAGGAAGCAGCCAATCAATGATTCTCTCTCATCATTGATGTTTCTCTCTCTCCCTCTCCCTTCCTTTCTGAAGTCAATATTTTTTAAAAAGTGGGTATTTGCAGTCTGTGCTTAAATGTATTACCTGCCACGAAACGACCGTGGTGCTCGTGGTGGCTCTCACACCCACGTGCTGGCTTCCGGTCTTCTCACTACACACAGTTCTCTTCACTGGTGGTTGTGGGTGACAGGCCTCTTAGTCTTTCTATGTCTAACGATGTCTGTTTTGCCCGGCCCTTGAAGAATGGGTTCAGCCGCTGTGAAACCGAGTTGGCAGTTACTTCCTCTCAGCAGTCTGCGGGCGTTCCTCTGCCGGCTCCTGGCAGCCCCCGGCGTGCCCGCCATTCCTTGGTGGCGGCCTGTGGCGCTGCCCTCGTCGTTTTCACGATCTCTCCGTTCTATTCTTGGACACAGATGTCTAGCTTCTAGATTTACTCTTATTCATCCGGCCTGAGAGACGGAGATGACTTTTGATCTAAGAACTCACACGAATGCTCCTCAATCCTAGAAAATGTTTAGCTTCGCTCTTCAATTATTGCTTCTTCCCTCCCCCAGCCCTTCTCCCGTGCGACGGAAGCTCTGGTTTCCTGCCCTCCTGGCTCTATCCTGCTTCTACATGCACCCACAGTGAGTGTGCACCCACAGTGAGTGTGTTTTTTAACTTTGCGTCTGTGCTGCACCTGCAGGGACAATTCCCAAGCAGCACTATCTCCATCCTGCCTGCTTCTTTTTGTTTTTCCTTGTTGTTGTTTTTCCTTTTTTCTCTTTGTGTCTGGTTCTTTTTATTTCCACTAATCACCATGTTTTCATTACCAGGTTTTCAAATAATGTTCGTATTCGCCTGATCTTGTTCCAAGTGTTGATTTATTGTCATTCCCAGCATTAGGGCTCTTCCTGTGTTTTAGAATTCCGTCTACAGACTTGTTTGGGGCACAAGTCCTTTTTTTCTGTTAATTTTATTTTTCACTTTTTCTCCCTCCTGCTTAACCTTCCCTTCCCAGTTTGTAATTACCTGGCCCACCCCCCACCCCCGGTGCAGCTGTGACCCCAGGCTCAGACTGGCTCCCATACAAGCAGAGTAGCCTGGTTCTATCCCTCTCTCGCCCGAAGAACTTTGGGGACTCACTGTCCCACGTGAGCTGCCCCCCTCCTGGTCCCCTCTGAGCCCGGAGCCCAGGCGTCCTGCTCCAGCTGGAGTCTGGACACAGCCACGCCTTTGTCCCCACCTAGGTTTTATCTGTTGTTGCTGTGGGTCTGTGGATGGGGACACCCAAGAGTAATCCTGATGGCATGTACGTGGATGAATTCCAAGAAGGGGGTGACTTCCTTATTTCTGAGAGGTCCTCTAGCTGCAGAGTGAACGGACAGGGAGGAGCCCATCTAGGGCCAGGGAGACCCAGCCGGGGAGACGGGCAGACTGGGGCCTTGGCAGCAGGGCTGGTGTGGAGGGGCAGCATCTGAGCGCACAGGCGTGGCCCAGAGGCGGCCGGGCTGGGGATGCGGTCAGGGCCTCCCGGGGCTGGCCCTGCTCTGGCTGGCTCTGTGCAGGGCACACGGTGGTCTGAGGGTGGCCAGCTCGGTCAGATGACGCCTGAGGCCAGGACAACGGGTGGCCTCGTGCACTTAACCGGGGCTGCGCGTGCACAGGTTCGAAGGCGCCACAGCTGCTCCGAGCCCTCTTTAAAAAGAAACCTTGACAGGATTTTTATGCCGAGACCCGCTGTAATTGCAAGTTCTATTGAAGCCATTACATGTATTTATGATAATTATGTAGTTAGATGTAATTATACTAATTGTATAAATGCGCAATAATCGACTAAGATAACTTTGAGAGAACAAAGAATCCACCCAGAAAGCCCTCCCGAAGGTTAAGAGTGTGCAAGACCCACGGGGGACAGAGGGGTGCTCGTGGGAGCCTGGCTCCGAGCCAGACCCAGAGCTCAGGGTGCAGCAGGTGCTGGGAGTGCTCACCCGTTGCCATGGAACCAAAATGACTGTCTCTCAAGATAAAATTGGGCCTGGGGCCACCGAGGAGCCTTGGCTCCAGGTCGGCCCGGATGAATCCCCGCAGGCTTTGTGGACATGCAGGCCACGATCACGTCCCTCTCCTGCTCAAAGCTATGCCATGGCTCCCTCGTACCCAGGAATGCAGTTCCACCGCGGCAGCCGGTGTCAGGGCTCCAGGGTGCGGCTCTGGTCCACTGAGCCCGGCTGCGGAACCGTCCGTGCAGGGGGCACACACCGGCTGACTCCCGCCGGCATGCGGAGCCCCTCCCACCTCCATGCGGTTGTCCAGGCAGCACCTTCTCCCTGACTCGCCCTCCCTCTTGCCTCCCGCCCCTCCGTTGAGACCCTGCCTGTTCCTCCGGGCCCTGCTGGTCACGCCCCTCGTGCGCCCAGCCCTCGGGTCCTCCCAGGTGGAAGCCGGCCCTCTCCCTGCACCTCAGAGTCTGAACGGGTCACTCTGCTGTGACGCCTGCATCTGTTAACCCACGTCCCGAGGCCGTGCCTGTCTGCCGGCAGGTGAGTGTCCCTGGGGCCAGGACACGTCCGCCCTTGACCGGCCCCCACCGCCAGCACAGAGCCTGGCGTGAGTCACGCTCCCGAATAACTGATCGCACTGAGATGACTTCTCACAATAAAGACATGGGTAACAATAATCCTAAGGAGCTGTGGGAGCCCCAGGGCCTCTCCTCCCCGCTGGGCTGGGTGGTCAGGGGAGGCTGCCTGGCGGAGACAGTGTCTGAAGGCAACGTGCGATAAATGGGAGTTCGGCGGGGACAGAAAGGGGCCAGCGGGCAGGCACGTGGGAAAGGCCCAGGACGCGAGCAGCAGCACAAGGGCCCTCCCCTGCTGTGACCCAGAGCCGCTGCTTTTCCCACCTCCACCGGTGCAGGTGGCATTAGGAGGGGCAGTGAGAGCCCATCCTCCTTCCTCCTTCCGCAGGGTTTGGGGGGGGGGGGGGTGCTATGTACAATTTCTGGAAAGTTCTATGGGCACCTTTAGGAGACATCAGCACCTCCCGCACCAGCCTTGGGCAGTGGTTGACTTCTCAGGCACTCGAGAGTCCTGTTCTGCTCGCCTTCAGGCACTCGTGATTGGAAACGGGCAGAGAGAAGAGCCGTGATTGGTCACAGGCATAGAGAAGAGCTGTGATTGGTCACAGCAGAGAGAGCCGTGATTGGTCACGGGCAGAGAGAAGAGCCGTGATTGGTCACAGCAGAGAGAAGAGACATAATTGGTCACAGCAGAGAGAAGGGCCGTGACTGGTCACAGCAGAGAGAAGAGCCGTTATTAGTCACAGCAGAGAGAGCTGTGATTGGTCACAGCATAGAGAAGAGCCGTGACTGGTCACAGCAGAGAGAGCTGTGATTGGTCACAGCAGAGAGAGCCGTGATTTGTCACGGGCAGACAGAAGAGCCGTGATTGGCCGCGGGCAGAGAGAAGAGCCGTGATTGGTCACAGCAGAGAGTAGAGCCGTGATTGGTCACAGCAGAGAGAAGAGCCGTGATTGGTCACAGCAGAGAGGAGAGCCATGATTGGCCACGGGCAGAGAGAAGAGCCGTGATTGGTCATGGGCAGACTGAAGAGCCGTGATTGGTCAGAGCAGAGAGAAGAGCCAGGGCTGCTTTAGAGCCAGTGCTTCCGCCCGAGGGCAGCAGGGTCCTAAGGACGGGAACACGGAGGGGCCAGGGCTGTAGGGCTCGGTGGTGGGAGCCCCGCAGTGTCCCAGGCACCGTGGACTCATGGCCAGGAGAGAAGCCGTACCTCCCACCTCACAGACGGGACGGAGGGGTTCGCCGTCACACCCGGGAGCCAGCAGCAGGGGTGCAGACTCAGGCAGCAGGATCCAGCCCCGGGCCGCCACTCAGCCTGCGCTCAGCGCCCCACTCGGAGCCCCCACTCGGAGCCCCCACTGCACAGGGCGGCGGGGGCTTGTCAGCTGCCTCCATGAGTCCCTCCCACCCCGACAGCAGTCCCCGGGCCACAGCGCCTACCTCGGGGTTCTCCTGGCTCGGGGGCCGGGCTTCCTTCCTCTTGGAGGCCTGCGCTCCCTGAGACGGCTCCTCCGTGGGCGGCCGCGACTCGGCCTTGCTCTCGGGTTGGGTCTGCACTTGAGGCTGAATGATGATGACCTGGAAGGTACGGCGCAGGGAGGGGGATGAAGGGGTGCTGGGGGGGGTTAGAAGGGGTGAGGGTGGGAGGGAGGGAAGCGGGAGGGGGAGCTGGGAGGTCCAGGGGGAGCCGGGGTGATGCAGGCCCTGGAGTGGCAGGATCACGGGGGGAGGCGGCTTGCACGGAGCTTGCAGGCTGTGGCAGAGCGTGTGCCTCCACAGCCCCTCCGCCGTGAGGATGGTCTGCAGGGGAACGGGCCTGGCTCAGGAACAGGGGCCTGGGTTCCATCCTGTGCTCCCGTGTCCCAGCTGTGGATTCGGGAGGTCACACTGCCTCTACCCTCAGCTTCTTCGGAATGCCGACCTCCGGCAGCGAGGGCAGAAGTTAGCTCCTTTATCCCCAACGCAGATGTAGGTAAACTGAGGCCGAGGGGGAGCAGGGGGGCTGGGACACTTCCCTGCTCTGTCCTGGCTGCAGGGCCTGGCCACCCACGCCCCTCCTGCCCCTTGGGCCCCAGGCCACCGTGTCTGAGGTGCTCCCACTTGGCCGAGGAGGGCGAGGGAGGGTGGGAATAATGCTGTTTTTCTCGATAAGGAGCCCTGCCGAGCCCAGGGGTGGGTGGGCTGTGGAGAAGGAGGGGGTGGGCTCCAGGCCTCACACAGAATCACCTGAGCAGCCCCACGTCGGGCGGGGCGGCCCCCACCAGGGCTCAGGGTGACCCCTGGGTCTGATGGAGGGTCAGAGGCTGGAAAGTCTGAAATTGACTTGTGCAGCCCAGCCCAGCCTCCCTGGGTGGCTCGCTCCCATCTGGGGCTCAGCTATTTCATTTCAGTCTTTGGACAGGAAATTGGGGAAAAATTGTTATATTTCTTGGGTCCCAGGGAAGGAATTCAGGGCCGAGCCAGGAGTAATTTGAACTGGCATTTTCCCCGAGAACGGGAGGACTATCCTATGAATTGTGAGGAGAAGATGGCTTCTCTTCCATTGGCTTAAGGCAGTGGTTGGCAAACTGCGGCTCGCGAGCCACATGCGGCTCTTTGGCCCCTTCAGTGTGGCTCTTCCACAAAATACCGATTTCTGCTCATGGGCCACGAAGTTCAATCGCACTGTACGTGCGCGCCCGCACGTGGTATTTTGTGGAAGAGCCACACTCAAGGGGCCAAAGAGCCGCATGTGGCTCACGAGCCTCGGTTTGCCGACCACGGGCTTAAGGGAAGGCTCTTTGTTCTTCATATCAGTTTAAAGTCCCAGAATTCTCTGGATGGAAAATAATGCCCCTTTTATATTCACGGGGAGAAAACACGAAGATCCCCCCGTAGAAAAAAAGGGCAAAGAATATCCTCAAATGACACACAGGAGTCAGCATTCTTGAAAAGTCTAGGAAGAACACCCAAGCTTAATAATAACCAAAGAACTCAACTTTCAACCGCGGGTGCCTGTTTGCACCGATTAAATGGAAAGTGTTGAAGCGACAGCACTGGGTGCTGGCGAGGCTGCAGTGAAGCTGGGGCAGCAGCTGCTCAGCTCGCCCTGGACCGGGCCGCCCCGGGTCCACAGCTCCTCACAGGGACCGCATCAGACCAGAGCCCGTTAGCAACTCCTTAGGCTTTTAGAGTCCCTGGGGACACGGTCCCGGGGTGCGAGGGCCCCGGAAATAGGCTGCATGCAGTGACATGGAAGGGGAGTGCCAACCTTCAGGCCGGGAAGTGGAAGCGACACTGGCTGCAAACGAGGGGAGCAGCCTGGCGGACCCCAAACTGGGAACAGGAAAAGAGGCCAAAGAAAGGAAATGACGCTCTGCGCAGCCCGAAGGCCTCAAAAGCAGTCGGAAGGAGCGTGGAGGGAACAGGGAGACGATCTTAGTTTGTTTTAAATCTGAGATTTTTCCATTCAGACACCTGGGTCCAAAAGAGCCCTTGGCTACCTAACTCCACCAGCAGAGCCGCCCTCAGTAGGGGGCTCCCTTGCTGTCATCCCTTCTGCCCACATCTTACGAGTCACTTACCCCAATGAATGAGTAATTAACGCACTGACCAATCATTCTTGTTTTGCTGGCGTTAATTCGCTCAGCCATATAGTCTTCCAATCACATACCCATTCATTTGTACCCTCATTCATTCATGCGTGGATCCACCCACCCGATCACTCATTTCCACCCCATTGATCCATTTGACCACTTGGCCATCCTGCCCTCCAGTCTCTGATTCTGCCCGGCCTCGTGGCCTCGTTCACTTGGCGCCTCTTGGGCAGGTGCCTGCTGTGTGTGCAGCACCCCTGAGCCTGCCCGTGGGCACAGCCTCACCTTGTTGTCGGTACTGATGAGGAGGGGCTGGACTTTGATGCTGTCGCTGACCACGGACACGGCGGCGCTGGGGGCGATGGCGGCGGCATTGCTGGGAGCCGTGGAGATGATGGCGTAGGCCACCCCGGCACTGCTCAGAGAAGACGTGATGGCGGCCGGCTCCGCGAGGGCCTGGGGCTGGCTGCCGGGTGCTGGCACATGGCTCACGGTGTTGTTGGCGGTGGGGAGGGCTGGGCTGGGGTTCTTGATACTGACCACGGTGGCCTTCTGGAATGTTGGGGGCTGTTTGGGTGGCCGGTCCCGGCCGGGGGTGACGGGGAGGCTGTCTGGAATCAGAGTCTTTGGCCTAACCTGGGGGGAGGGGAGACGGACAGACAGGTGGATGATCGACTCTTTTAACCATTCCCCCCCCCCCATTTAAAAACTTCCCTCCCTGCATGGCCCAGTACAGAAATGAGTCATTCAAGAAGCGATGCTGTGAGGCGGCTCGATGCCTCTGCCCTGTTCGAGACCAGCCTAGTCTAGTCCATTTTTTAAAATCCTGGTCATCGCCCACTAAGTTGATTTCCCAGTTCCTCGCTGGGAACACGGGTGCTGGCCCGAACGCCTCCGCAGGACAGGAGGAGACGGGCAAGGGAAGGGGTTCCACCGGCTCCGTGCCCACCAAAGCCTCAGTGCCGAGGGCTGGGGCAGAGACCACGGGACAGACGAACAGACCCCGGGGCCCACCGTGGGTGGCTTACCTGAGGTAGCAGTGCCACTCCTTGCCCGGCCAGCCTCTGCAAGGAGCTGACCTGAGGCCCCGTGACCGGCACGGCAGTGATGGATCCCAGAGCCTGGAAGACAGGGCGCCGCTGAGGCGGGCCAGGCCGAGACGCACGCCGGCACCCGGCGAGGACCCGCACCCGCCCTGCTGGCACCCGACCGCAGCCTTCCGGCCGCCAGGACTGAGCTGCAGGTAGTTTCTGTGGTTTATGGGCCCCCACCCCCCGTCTGTGGGACTCTGTTACAGCAGCGCGAGCGGACGAAGTCAGCCTCCCTCTGTCACCAGGAAGAGGGTCCTCAGCAGGGACCCCATCAGCCAGCACCTTGGCCTTGGCCTTCCGCCCCGAAGCCCCGTGAGGAGGAAATGCCACGTAAGCCCCCGTCTCTGGGT